TTCTGAAGTGTTTGAATCCTAAAACGCTTCCATATTCGAGGTTGCTAGTTACTGGATTTTTAGTAATTATCATTTTATTATGCTTTTTTAGAATTTTACAATAAGGATTTTTCTAGTGTGAATTATATAAAAAATTTTCAAGTTTGCTATTATCTTTGATATATTCTTTTGTTATACTCAGAATTCTTTACTATAAATTGAGACTATCTGTAGCAAAATACATAATGAATGTTGCCACACTTCAAATTTAGCAACGCCATTTCGGTTCTGATGGGCGCAATGGCTCTCTCCCAGGTTGCACAGGATCCCCCCCTTCTTCTTCCACTCAACATATACCTGTTGGCCTTCCACGCTCGATTTCCCTTGACGCTTCTGCCGGCTGCCCCACTGGCAGCAGAGATGGAGCTTCTCCTATGCCACAGCGGCATCGAAAAACAGCCGCTTGTAATGATCGTCACCACACAGTCCATGCTCCCACTACTGGCCTGATTGCCGCTATTGACGGAGTTCTCACTGAGATGGACCTCTCTAGGCCCGGGAGACTGCGTCCCAGCCCTGACATTGCGAGACTAGTCATAACAGAAAATAGTCATGCCATTACTGGCGCCAAGAGTCGTGGAAATTGTGTTGGCAGTAACAGTGGCGGTAGCAGCAACAGACGTTTCAACGAACAGGCTCTGCATCGTGAAAGAAGGGTTAAGAATTACTTAGAGGAGGATGGCGAGGGTTGTGCGACATCCGCAGATGGTGCTGAAGTTCAAAGTGAGCGTGGCCAGCTAATTGGACATAGTCTAGAGCCCGTTCGAAGTGGTGGTGACAGTGCTCCGGCGACCTCTTTGGCCAGGCTAGAACGCCCTAATTTCCAATCTGTCATGGTAAGTATTGTTACCAAGCCAAATTCAGAAGCTATTTTTTTCTAAGCAAATATGTCTTGAATATCCAAATTATAGCTTTCACTAGTGGATAATCATGGGTGATGAAGTAACCTTAGATTCCTGAATTTATAGCAATGTATTTACACACTTGCCAGACCCGTTTTACTCCCCACGAGGTTGAAAATATGTAGTGTAAATTGTAATGTCACATTTATGCAAAATAACACTCCAGACACATGCTTGCTCTGGAAGAACAGGCAACAGATTGTTAATTTGCCACTTAGAATTTCTATTTAATTTATTTTTGCCTCTTACCCGAAGGCCTTTTTAAAAATCATTAGGAAAACTTAATCTCTTGATTTCTTTCGATTCTAAGGGTACCCATTTAACTTTCATAAGCTTATCTTGGTTGCCTTTGTATCAATGCTGGTAATGCTTAGAATACCCTGGTGTGATTAAAACTCTACTCTGCCCTGAATTAATTACGATTTTGAGGTACTTGATGTATTTAAATTCATTGTCTTCGCTAATTTATTCATGGATATATTAAGGTCAAATGAAGTTCAATTGAAATGTAAGGCCTACTTATATCGCTGTTTAAAAATTCAACTAATGTCCTTATAATTTTATACACCTTAGGTAATTGGAACATTTATTTTACATCAATTATTTAAAGGGACTTTGACTGTCGTTCTTGAAGCTATTTTTGTATTATTCGTTTCTGAGTAGGCTTTTAAGAATACCAGTTTTGTTATACATTTTCTCTTAATTCCTTTGAAATTACTTAGTTATAAGATACTTTATAGAGGTCCTATTTAAAAGCGCTTGTTGCAAAATGATCCGATGTTTTGTTCAAGTTTACTCCAAATCAGTGACATAGGACTCTGGGTAAGGAGTATTTACCTCTAGACCACTGACAAGTTGCGAAAACGAGGTCAGATCATTCCTATATAATTGTACAAGTTGTTCGATTCAATTTTTAGGAACTTACTCCTTTTTCCATCATTAACATGCGGCATTTGCATTACTTTTTTCGTCCATCCTCTTGGATATTTTGATTTCATCTAAAAATGCGAATCATTCCATCGTTTTAAGTCGTGATCATTTTGCTTTTTCTCTGTTTTCTTAATACTTAATACATTTTCCCCTTATCTTGTTTATGCGACTATTTTGTGTAATCAAGTTAGTCTAAATAAACGAACCTTGACAAAATCCCCTTTCATATAATTCACGATAATTTTCAATATCTGATCGTTAACTTGATACGTTTTCCCGGCATCATAATTAATTTTTTTCATTCTTATCTCGTTTACAGACATGTAAAGTTTATCTATTTGCTAACTTTCTGCTAAATGCTTGTGGTATCTTTTGTCTTGCTATATCTACCTAGCTCCAATATTCGTATCCCACTCCCTCTTTTTTCAACTTTTAACTAGTTTATACTGGACTGCTCTAGAAGCGTATCCTTTTAGGCGAGTTTAGTGAGGTGTTACTGCACTTGCTGGTTTTTTTTTTGCCCCCTATTGATGTTCCGGAATTTATGATCCGACTTGGACCTTTTCGTCTACAAACTACTTTAATCAGAATCTCCCTCTTTCCCTCGAAGATCCCTTTCTTATCTTACTAGCTGATTGGTTTAACTCGATTCCAGCTTCCACGATTATCAGAAGCCTAAGACTATCGTGCACGGATTTTTGGATTAATAATTTATAAAATGGATTGGATGTTACTCATTAACGTGAAAATTATCGCGAAAATATAAAAAACGAAACGGGTTGTGAGAGTAGATGGCATGGTTGCGAATATGAAAGTAAAGTAGACTTGAGAAAGATGCATATATTTGCATATGTTTAATAACCATCTAACTTGGGATTTATGATCAATAGTTTGAAAATAAAACCTTCAGGTGACTACGAAGGGGAAGACAACACTTCTCACAAGATTATCTATGCAACATCAAGAGGAGTGCTAGGGAGCTTATTGCATAGCATGAGACTATTGGCTAAATTGAAAGAAAAACCAGAATAAGGTTTAATACACACTAAATGTTTATCTGAAAAATTTCTACGGAAGGACACAAGGGAGACTAATTCGAATTGAATGAAATTGGTTGCAGACTGAAAGTTCTGATCAAACATTCGGACACATAAAGACAGGTACAATGTAAACCAGCGGGAGTTGTGATGACGCCTCTCCCGACCCACTCAAAAGAGCACACCTCTGAAGTAGTCCAGTATTAGCAGGTTAAAAGAGGAAGTGTGATATATAAATCAGCAGAAATTTGTTCAAGGGATGGAAATCAGTTGTATTTGATTAGTTATAGCTTTGTGCTACGAATGGCAAGGCCCACTGAAGACGCTAGTTAAATGTCTGGCGTTTTGCCCAGTTCCTATGTAAATTATTATGACTACTTTGGCAGAAG